TCCAGAAAATCCCCAAAACTACGTCATGTATAGACTTTGTACACAGTTCAGCACAGGGGGGAAAGGGATGGTCTCTAGAGTAAGACTTACTAAGTTGGAATTCAGCTCTGCCACTTACCAGCTATGTGATCTCAGGCAAATCACTGAACCACTCAGCAACTCAGTTAATTTGATATCATGCACTAATTAGATATTGCATTACAACTACTTCTTTGAAATTGTTATAAAGATTAAATGAATTAATACAGTCAGTGCTCGGTCAGTGCCTGGCACATTGTAAGTGCTCAAAAATATTAGTATTATAAGTATTCTCTTTGGTTGCATTTCCATGGTCATAATTAAACAATGAATTGATTAATTGATTTTGTTGTTGTTGTTGTTGTTGCAGTTTTTGCCGGGGGCCAGGGCCAGGTTGGAACCCACCACCTCTGGTATATGAGGCTGGTGCCTTACTCCTTGAGCCACAGGCATCACCCCTGGTTAATTGATTCCTTAATAATGTTCATTTACTTCATTAGACCCTAAGCTCCATGGAGACAGGGACCATTGTCTTATTACTGCCACCTTCCTCTGCACCTAGTAGGGGAATTAACAGACTTACTTCATGGAATATTTGTAACAATAAATCTAGTACAAGCAGGAAGACTAAGGGCCTAGGTTAAGTTGAGTGCAAGGAAGTGGGGACTATTTATAGCTCAACAGACTGGGGCAGCTCTGTCTGGGACGTAGCCTTTTGCCTGGGCATTGAGGAATGGGTAGAGTTTGAACATTAGTTATATGCTAGGCCTAAGGGACAGGAAAAGATAGAGCCTAACAAACCAAATAAATGACAGGATTATTCTGGTTTTGCCAAACACAGAAAACCAGCTTGACAATACTTACCTCTGCACTCTGAAGATAATTCTCAAAGATTCATATTTGTATTTTTACTTTTGAATGAGCACTGGAAAATCTCTTATACTATTTTAGATTATGAAAAAGCAACCAACTTTGGCAGTGAGTATATGGTAGGTGCTTATTATATAAGCTTACTCTTAAGAATAAAATCCAGGTGTCTGAGGTTTTTGAGGACCCATGAAAGCGATTGTTTAAGTTAAGAGCAGTGAGGAACCAACCAAGGAGGGTCAAGATAAGAATGTCAGGAAGATCTGTGTAGAGGCAGGCAGAGGGGAGAAGACAGGAAGCCATTGCCGGGGTGCACGTGAGGGGCAGTGAAGGCCTGGAGTCCCACCACCGTGCAGTATGTCAGCAGTGGGTGGGACAAATGCAAGAGAGAGTCAGGATTGGGCTCAGATGTTAACAGGAGCAAGGTTGCATTAGCATTGAAATAACTGAAGAACTTGAGACTCTGAGGACAGTAATGGGATCTTCAGAGGCCAACTCCTGCACCTCAATTTCAAAATCACTGAGTACAATCAAATCCCTGGCTTTGCTAATTAAAAAAACCGAGGCTCAGAGAGGTGAAGTGACTTGTCTCACACCACACAGCTAATTAGTAGCAAAGTAGGGCTGGAATTTTGTTACCACTTGCCTGATCAGGTGTTTTTGTAGAGAAAATTTGCTATTTTTTTCATTAACATACCACCAAGAAGATCTCTTAGCTCAAATGAGCCTTTTTCCCTAGTGAAATAAGGTGCTTGGTTTATAATTTTGCCATTACCACAAATCAGCTGTGTGGCCTGAGTGAGCTACTCACTCTCTAAGTTTCCATTTTCATATCTGAAGAGTAGGGGTAATTTGCCAATACCCTTACTGAGTATGAATAGAAACATTCCGAGGTTAAATAGCATAATTCTTGCAGAGAGCCTAGAACACAGTGAATGCCTCATAAAACAGGGATCTATTATCACCCTCACCACCAACAATTACTACCCACAATCTGGTCATAGTGGTTTGCCTGAATTGGTGGGCCAGTGTCATTAGCTGGAATTGTGAAAATCATTGGTGGATCTCTGGGAGTTCCAACTGACTGGACTGCTAGCTGCCTCTGAGACGCTCAGCCCTGGTTTGCCCTTAGTTTTCACATCTGAAAAAATGAGAGCAATGTGTGTGTGAGAGAGAGAGAGAGAGAGAGAAGTGAGACTATAAGAGTACGGGAAGACAGAACTGTAGAATTTAAGAAGTAAATAATTTCCAGAAGGAATCCCATCAAGTCCTATTTAGGAGCATCTTGAAATCCCAATTTGATGACACTGGGTCTGCAGACCTCACAGACACGGTGATTTTGTGAACAAGCTTGAAATGCAAGGCACACGAGCATGTTTACTTTCTTTTTTCTCCACCACCTCCCTACCCCAAATAAAATCTGCAGGTCACGGCTGATGAAGCATTTCTAGGAGAGAAGTTGGTCTTAAGCATTGGCTGTTTCCTAGAACAGCCGGTTTCACAATGAAGGCCCCGGGTACATAATCGCTGTGCAAGAGAATGTCATTATTGGCTGCTTCCTTGAGGGACCCAGACCCTTTCATCCTCCAGATGTGGTGCTACTTAGGTTGTGGGAATAGATGGGGAGATGAGGACAGGGTTAGCAAATGGCCTATAGAAAAGGGCCCGACATGACTAGTGTCGAGAACCCCAGTGACGTATTCCCACATGTGATGTCAGGGCGTGCTTTCTTTCCCTCCCCCCCCCCTTCTAATTTCTCAGACAGGAAAACAGAGTTAGAGGAGACCAGGAAGTTGCTCAGAACGAGAGGCTAATCCTCAGGATTAGGTCATAGTCCCCAGCTTTTTTTAAGAAACAGCTGGCTCATACAGGTTGGTGAGTTTCAGCAGAGAGTGTCCAAGATTTAATCTGACAGAGATTGGAATGACATCTGCTCAGTTTCTCTCTCTCCCTTCCTGTTTCCCTCTGTGTCTCTCCGTTTTCATCTGCCCTTTACTCCAGGAATTTTAGGATGAATATGAACCCCAGGGGGCTCACATGAAAGGGTCCTACTGAAGACACGTTGCCTAGAATGTGGGAGGCCTTTGCATGTTTTTAACTGGATAAATAGGAAGGTGTTTTTCCCCATTAGACAAGTTCAACAGTCTCCATTGACTTCCTAACAGGTGAAGACACTTGGGAGCTAGAATTTAGGCAAGATGATTGATGGAGGTCAGGTAGGTTCGTCTTCAGGTCTCTCCCCAAAAGTAGCAGCAGCACCAAAGGCGATATGGTCTTCATTTCTCTTCCCTTCACTGTGCTGTTCTCACTGGTAAGGCCCATGTCCTACTCCCATAAAATCAAATGAGAAACATTTCGAATATTCCCTTTCCCTCAAAGTGGGTGGTATTCTCCTTTTTTTTTCCAGTGGAGAACCACTCACCTTGGTGGTGCGGCTCACACTGCAAATCATTCCTCTGCATCCAGAGAACACCCCTCTCCTCAGTGGGGTTCCCCCTACAACTCTATTTCTTTTAACTTATTATTATTATTATTATTAGGTCAACAAATGAGTCAACAGAGCTAAGAATTCTAATTTTATCAATAAGTGTCTCAGAAGAGGTGTGGGTGGGGGTAGATGGGGACAGTATTAACAAGTGGCCTATATAAAAGGACCAGACATGACCATTTGGGAGCACAAAAGCCCACTCCCTTTTAATGGAAAGAGAAAAAACCCTCTAATAGAGAACCAAGCTGTGCATTGCTATGATCTCCCTATAACTGAAACATCTATTCCCACAACTTAAATTGCAAAGCATTTTCCCCAAACCATTGAGTTGCAGAATTTAAAAAATGTATTTGACTGCCAGATTTACAAATTGGGTTAGCTTTCTAGTTTTCCACTAGAAGCGAGGAAAAGGTTAGTAGCTAGTGATTGAAATATAATTTTCCCTGGCACGTGAATCTTGGCTATCATTAATGCATTGTTCTGGCCACAGTTCCCTGGCACTCCCTGAAATTCTACCGCCAAATCCTGCCCTTTCTGATGCCTGCTCTCTGGAATCCACTGATGATCAGAATAACAATCATTGCAGCCTGCATCTCTGGAGTTCTTCATAGCTTTTAATATCATTGAAGCCTCAGAAAACTCTGTAAAGCCTTGGGAAAGGTATAATTATCCTTATTTTACATGTAAGCAAACAGACTCAGAGAAAACAGGGGACTTCTAGTAATCTGCGTCACAAGGACATGGCTGGTTTACAGTAATCCTGCATCCTAATATGTATCCTCTGTCTCTTTTCATCTGTTCTTTCCAAATTGACACATGGGCAGAGATAAGCCAATCAGGGAAGGAGTCTGTACAAAGTAAATTATCTTGGTGTCTAGACCTAGTGGAGTGGGATTATTCCATGTGATACTCTCATTTTTAAATGTAGTCATGATTCATCTGGCCACCAGAAATTTCCATTTTCACCACCAGCATTATCAAGAGATCATTTTCAAAAAATCAGTACATAAAACAGGATATGCCGTGATAGTACTATTCTGTATTATGAACTATGATACGGAATACTGTACAATGTCATGAATATTTTTATGACTAAGTCCAAAACTTTTTATTCTGATGGGTCATGAAGTCAATTTAGTGGACTGCTACCAGAATTAAAAGAGAAAATAAGGTAAGATAGGATATAATAGAATTGAAAACGTCAAAGTACATTGCGTGTCAAAAAGCGAAGCGTGTTCTCTGAGTCCTTGGGTGCATGTATTATGGATCACGATGTTAAAATGGATTTCTTATTGCGTAGTCCTCCTCTTTTTCTAGTTTTCCCTCTCTCTAGTCTCCTTTCTTTTTCCTTTCTCTCTCTCCTTCTCTGTTACATATAGAAAATGTACACTGACACCTCCGACCTGCATCCTCACCCTCCTCCGCTCCCATCCTTCCTAACACGATCTTCTTCCCAAGGGCCTGGGGCAGGGATTGTGTTCTCACGTTCCTCTATGCTCCTCCTTCCTTTCCCCTGTCTGTTGAAAAGGTCCTTGTGCAGGGTGACCTTCAAGACAGGGCTTGCCAGCTCGTTCCCTGTTTAATAAATAAATTGCTCTATCGCTAAACCGTCATATTTCCATTTCAGGCAAAGCAACTCCAACTTGAAGCAATGAAATCCCCCAGGACAGCCACCCTGTGCCTCATGTTGATTGTGATTTATTCTGCCAAAGCTTCATTGAACTTGAATTTAGAAACCATTGTTCATCCTTTGGTGAGTGAATCTATGTCTCCTGTCATTTTTTCTGTCACATTTTCTCTGATTTCCTGGGAATGTCACTGATGGAAAAAGGTTCTTTAAAAAAAAATTAGGGAGAAAAAAATATTTAGAAGGAGAAAAAATTCTTCCCTTAATTCTAGCATTTAAAAAATATATTGCAAAACAAGGGGAAAGAGTGACATCAGCGTATGTCCTGGGCTACAACTTGCCAGGCTTTGGAATCAGTGAGAGAAATCTCCCAGGCTTCCCTCCTTAACTCAATGGCAGTATCTAGGTGTGAGGCTTCCACTCAGTGAAATTGGTAACAATGACAACAAGCAGATTTGGAGCACTGAGCAGAACTATGTACTCGAAGGACTCATTTTAACTGGAGCATCAGTCTGGAACACTTTTTAAAACAAGTCCATCTATGTGGGTGTGTATCAAAAGCATAGATTGACGGAACTGAAGGCATCATACCTATCGATAATTTGCTGACAAATTATCCAGGCGAGTTTGTCTTCAGAAAGTCAAACTTAAGTTTAGTTTAACTAAAAGAAGTGACAAGCACTCCCTTCCTCCGTATGGGAATTACGGGGTCATACCTTACCTAGGTTCTCCATGCACCAGAGGCAGGGCCTGGTACTGGATGGAAAATCTTACAAGACTGGTGCAATTCTGTGTCAGCTTCTTCATCCATAAAATGATGATAATAATAGTACTGACTTCCTAGGATTGTTATGAAAATTACATTAGATGATATTTATAAGACGCCTCTGGCATTTAATAAGTGCTGTAAAATGTTCACTGTTATTATTTACTCCGTTGCGATATTATTTTTTCTGCTTTTCTTCCGTTTCTTGTATTTTAGTTCTCTTTGTTTTAGTCAGTCACTGTTGTTAGAGCTTCACTGGTACATTGTTTGCATTATAACATGTCTCTCTTTGTCCGATTGGTCTGTGTTAATTTAATTCTTTGTCTCTCTTTGTCTGATTGGTCTG